TATATGCCAATAATGAAGCAGCAGAAAGAGACATTAAGAAAACAATCCCATTTTCGATTGCACCCAAAATAGTAAGATACCTAGGAATAAACCTAACCAAAGAGGTGAAAGACCTGGACTCTGAAAACTAGAAAACATTGATGAAAGAAATGAAAGATGCCACAAAGAAATGGAAAGACGTTCCATGCTCATGGATTGGAAGAACAAATACTGTTAAAATGTCTATACTACCCAAAGCAATCTACACATTTAATGAAGTCCTATGAAACCGCCAATAGCATTTTTCACAGAACGAGAACAAAACAATCTTAAAATTTGTATGAATCCACAAAAGATCCCAAATAACCAAAGCAACCTTGAAAAAGAAAAGGAAAACAAAGCCGGAGACATCACAATTGTGGGTTTTGAGTTATATTACAAAGCTGTAGTGATCAAAGCAGTATGGTAATGGCACAAAAATAGACACACACAGATCAATGGAACACAATAGAAAACCCAGAAATGTATGCACAACCATATGGTCATTTAATTTTCGACAAAGCAGGAATGAACAGCTGGTGGGAAAATGAATGTCTCCCCAACAAATGGTGTTGGGATAACTGGAGAGCAACATGTAAAAGAATGAAACTGGACCAATTTCTTACACCATACACAAAAATAAATTCAAAATGGATTAAAGACCTAAATGTGACACCAGAAACCATAGAACTCCTAAGAGAGAACACAGGCAATAACTGCTTTGACATTGGCTGTAGCAAATTCTTTCTCCATGTGTCTCTGGAGGCAAGGGAAAGAAAAAAAAATAAACTACTAGGACCACATCAAAATAAAAAAAGAAAAGCTCCTGCACATGAAGGAAACAATCAACAAAACTAAAAGACAACCTACAGAATGGGAGAAGATATTTGCAAATGACATATCCCATAAAGGGCTAGTATTCAAAATATAGAGAGAACTATTAAAAATTCAACTCCCCAAAGACAAATAACCCAATTTTAAAAATGGGCAAAAGACGTGAACAGACATTTCTCCAAAGAAGACATCCAGATGGCCAATAGACACAGGAAAAGATGCTCGACGTCACTCACCATCAGGGAAATGCAAATCAAAACCACAGTAAGAGGGGCGCCTGGGTGGCTCAGTCTGTTGAGCATCTGCCTTTGGCTCAGGTCGTGATACCGGGGTCCTGGGACCCAGCCCTGTGTCGGGCTCCCTGTTCAGCAGGGAGCCTGCTTCTCCCTCTCCCTCTGCCCCCCAAAACCTCCCCCCCCACTCATGCTCTCTCTCGCTAGCTCTCTCTCTCTCAAATAAAAAGACCATAATGAGATACCACCTCACACCTGTCAGAATGGTTAAATTAACAACGCAAGAAACAACAGGTGTTGGTGAGGATGTGGAGAAAAAGGAAGCCTCGTGCACTGTTGGTGGAAATGCAAACTGGTGCAGTCACTGTGGAAACCAGTATGGAGGTTCCTCAAAACATTCAAAATAGAACTACCCTATGACCCAGCAATCACACTAATGTGTATTTACCCAAAGAATACAGGACCACTAATTCAAAAGGATACACGCACCCTTATGTTTATAGCAGCATTGTTTGCAATAGCCAAGATATGGAAGCAGCCCAAGTGTCCATCGACTGATGAGTTGATAAAGAAGAGGTGGTATATATACACAATGGAGTATTACTCAGCCATAAATAAGAAAGAAATTTTGACATTTGCAATGACATGGATGGAGCGAAAGACTGTAACGCTAAGCAAAATAAGTCTGACGGGAAAGGACAAATATATGATTTCACTCGTATGTGGAATTTAAGAAACAAAACACATAAGCAAAGTGAAAAGAGAGAAACAGACTATTAATTATAGAGAAAAATCTGATGGTTACCAGAGGGGAAGTGGATGGTGGGCTGGGTTAAATAGGTGATGGGGATTAAGGCGTGCACCTATTGTGATGAGCCCAGGGTAATGTATGGAAGTGTTGAATCACTATATTGTGTACCTGAATCTAAAATGACACTATGCTAAATCTCTGGAGTTTAAATTAAAACTTAAAAAACAAAATAAAAATAAAAACTAAAGATCGAATATAAACGGAAAGAGCCTCATTGACCTGTGGGACATTATCAAATCACCAAATCTACATGTCCTTGGTGCCTCTGAAGAAAAAAGAGGGAGGGACAGACAGGAAAGTATTTGAAGATATAACGGTAGAAAGTGTTCCAAATATGAGGCAAAAACCAAAAACTCACAACTCCAAGATGGTCTTTGAATTTAAGGCCCACCATAAACCAATTGCTCTGAAAACAAAAATTAAGTGTCAAAAGCAGGCTGAGAAAAAGACACCTTATGGAAAAGGGAGCAAAGGTAAGAATGACTTCTGTCTTCTTGTCTGCAAAAATAAAACATGGAACAATCAGGGCATTGTTGCATAAATTTGTTTGTCATTAATGCAGACTTTAGTAAAATAGAAATAACTTGATCCGCATGTGTTTACCTGTTCTGTGAATGTGGAAAGTCACAGAAAAATGGGATACCACTTTTGACAAGAAGAAGGAGAAAGACAGGAAGAAAGAAAGGAAGAAAGACAGAAAGACAGGAAGGAAGGAAGCAAGGAAGAAGAAGGAAAGAAAGAAAGATAGCTATTCAGGAAAATGTCAACCTGTTTTTATAGATTTGTATGAACTTGAGAACAGTGTAAAAGAAAAAAAAACAAAAGCAGACATTATTGTTTTCTGTAACCCCCAGAGTCTGGGGTTGGTGGGGGTTGTGACAGGAAGAGGATGGATTGTCAACCACTATTCATATATCTGTGTACTGCCCCACCTGTCTTAACAGCATGGGGTATATTTGTGGATCCTGATAAAGCCAAAGGGAGACGCTTAGTGAAGCATAACATAGTGGTCGCCAGGACCAACTCTGGAATGAGACTGCCTTTCTTTGAATCGGATTCCAGGCTCTGCTTCTTACACTTTGTGAGACCTCGGTGGGCAGGTTATTTAAATACTTGCTACTGAAGGTTTCCTGGGTGTAAAATGAAGATTATAATAACACCCATTTTATAAGTTGTTATAAGATTAAATGGTTTAATGATCAATTGCCTGGCGGCCATTTAATATGCGTGTGTGTGCATGTGTGAGAGAGAGAGAGACAGAGACAGAGGGAGAGAGAAAGGGAAAGTGGGAGAGGGAGGGAGGGAGTTTGATGCCTAAGTCAAATATAAATGGAACTCAAATGCAGCAGACCCTTTAGAAGTTAATGGAATAAGGTAAAAGGGAGGATTTGAACTTGATACTAGGATTGATCTCCTTCTAGTGGCCCAGCCTACATTTGGTGAAGAAATGTGGCTCTATGTTCAACATTATTAGAGATTCATTGAAAGGTAAAAGCAGAAAAGATTGGATTAGTTTTCCAGAAGTGGATATAAATGATTATGAGTCTGACTGGAAGAGGAGGTAGAAAGGAGGTAAAGAAGTTGAGGGAAGGGAAGGATAGGCATGGCAATATACTCATTTTATAGAAAATCAAGGTAAACTGACTAAGGTATATGCAAAAAAAAAAAAAATAGCTGAGGGTTACACCGTACAGAAAAATAAATTCAAAATGGATGAAAGACCTACGTGTGAGACAGGAAACCATCAGAATCCTGGAGAACACAGGCAGAAACCTTTTTGACCTCGGCCGTAGCAACTTCTTATTAGACACATTGCCAGAGGCAAGGGAAACAAAAGCAAAAATGAACTTCATCAAGATAAAAAGCTTCTGCCCAGCGAAGGAAACAATCAGCAAAACGAAAAGGCAGCCTACGGAATGGGAGAAGATATTTGCAAACAACATATCTGATAAAGGATTAGTATCCAAAATCTATAAAGAACTTACCAAGCTCAACACCCAAAAACCAAATAATCCAGTTCAGAAGTGGGCAGAAGACATGAATAAACACTTTTCCAAAGAAGACATCCAGACGGCTAACAGACACATGAAAGGATGCTCAACGCCACACACCATCAGGGAAATGCAAGTCAAAACTACAATGAGATAAAGCCTCAAACCTGTCAGAATGGCTAAAATCAACAACACGAGAAACACGAGTTGGCAAAGATGTGGAGAAAAAGGAATCCTCGTGCACTGTGGGTGGGAACGCAAACTGGCGCAGCCACTCTGGTGGACAGTTTGGAGTTTCCTCCAAAAGTTAAAAATTGAACTACCCTACGATCCCGCAACTTCACTATTAGGAATGTACCCAAAGGATACAAAAATACAGATTCAAAGGGGTACATGCACCCCAATGTTTTATAGGAGCATTATCAACAATAGCCAAACTGTGGAGAGTGCCCGTGTCCATCGACTGATGAATGAATAAAGAAGATGAGGGGTGAATATATATATATACACACACACATATGTATGTATATATATATCTCTATATATACAGTATATATACATATACATATACAAGTGTATATGTATATATATATATATATATATATATTATTTAGCCATCAAAAAGAATGAAATTTTGCCATTTGCAATGACGTGGATGGAGCTAGAGTGTATCATGCTAAGTGAAGTAAGTCAGAGAAAGACAAATACCATATGATCTCACACATACGTGGAGTTTAAGAAAGAAAACAGACGAACATATGGGAAGGGGGAAAGGACAAAATGGAGAGAAGGAAACAAGCCATAAGTGACTCTTAATGTTGGAGAACAAACTGATGGTTGATGGAGGGAGGTGGGTGGGGGATGGGCTAGATGGGGGATGGGTATTAGAGAGGGCAATTGTTGTGATGAGTACTCGGTGTGGTATGTAAGTGATGAATCACTGAATTATGCTCCAGACACCAATATTGCACTGTATGGTAACTAACAAAGTTTTTCAAAACTAAAATAAGGTTACCAGAGTCACCAATAGAGGAACTAAACATCAAAAGAAGGTATAGAAGCCAAGAGAAAGAAAGTGAGGGCAGACTGAAGACACATGAGTGAGTTAAATTCTCCTCTGTAAGCAGAATGTGGTCAACTGATGATGTTTGAAGTTGATGAATTATTGAAATAGCAGATTAAGCACTTTATCTAGAGGTAAGAGGGTAACTGCCAGAACAGTGCAAACAGGAATTATTAAAATGCTCTACCCTGGGAAGCACAATAAGGGGTTGAGAAGTGATGGGGTCTTGAGCCTTTGCTTTTTGTCATAAGTTCCTTTGCACTTTCTGGTCATCACTATTTTATTTACCATGTGCATGACTTCCTTTCAGTGAGAACAATGCTTTTCTGTTTCTTTTTCTTTTTTAAAGAACGGTTTTTTAAAAGACGGTGTGTATGTTCGGTAGGAGGTCCTATGGTTAAGCGCTGTGACTTTAGCAAGACTTTACCATATGGAAGGAGATTTCATTGTACATTTATTATATAGAGTGGGAACTTAAATTGCTCAACAACTCATAGTATTGAGAATCAGCCATTCACACATCCATAGCCCATGAATGTGTCAAAGCACCATTGTGAATGTTCCAGAGATATCATGGAGACATCAGAATGCATTCAGTATCCTACAGCAAAGAAGTCGAAGGAGTGTATCACCTAACAGTAATTTATGTCCAAATTGTCCCCAAAAAGGGTGCTTGAAGGGATGAATAGCAGTTGAGGGAAAATTCACTCGTGACTCAATATCCCCATTTCATTGAGATTGTATTATCAAATCTTCTGGGTGGTTTTCTTGAGTACGGAGAATGGCATGCTTTCCTGTGTTGACTTGTAAAGTCCTCGGACCTCAGGGAAAATAAATAAATGGATTATAAAAAGGTCCTAAGGTTGGGAGAACTAAGGAAAACCTGAATGAGGGTGTAAGAAAAGTGAGTTCAGGCTGGGGAATCAGGCAGTTGCCTGGAGTAAGATCCAGTCATAGCCTGGGATGTGACTCAGAGGATCAGACTCCCTCTGAACTGACACTTTGCTCCTGGTTAGAGAGGAAAAGCCAGGCTTCCTTGGACACCAGAAAGGAAAGACACCGAGTCTTCAAAAACCAGCTGAACAAGGATATCCTCAAGACAGAGGGAAATGGCATTAATAAGGAGTCTCTTGTGTTGGGCATTGAATGCATGCCAGGCACTGTGACAAACATTTCCCATATATTACCACTTTTCATCCTTAACAACTATCCCCTTGTACAGATGAAGACTCCAAAGCTAAAGAAACAAACAAAAAAGGTAAAGCAACTTGGACAAGGTAAGCACAGCTAGTAAGTCATGGCCTGGGGCATATCTATAGGTATATTTTTATAAGATCATGTCTGTAAACTGCCTAAGATTATGACAACGAAGGGCATTAGTTAGAATCGTAAGCATACGTTGGAAGGAGAATTGGCCCCAGGGACAAACATGCCTGAAACGCTCTATAAAAATCATCAGTCGAGATAGCCCTTTGTTCTTGGTTCCTAAGCAGGGTTGGGGCAAAACCTACTTGTTATAAAGGAAATCCCTAAGAACCTTAGTTAGGGCTTCTGAAACTCAAACTCAGACAACGTACTGAGGCTCAGAGTGGTTACGTGTTTTGCTCTGGGATTCTGACATTCCAAGTCCATTTGACTCCAAGACCCATCTTCTTTGAGGAATTTTGGCTCAGGAATTTAGGAATATACAGTGACTGCTAGCAGTATAGGCTTCTTCATTGCTCATGACCATCCTGAGCCCAAATATCACCAATTATGTTCCCTTTTGCAGACCCAGTCTGCTTCTGAGAGATCAACAAGGAAAGGGTCAAAGAAATGCTCACCCTCAGGGAAGGAGTGAGGGGAAAGAGGCAGAGAGGAAAAGAAACAAGAGGGAGAAACCGAGGACTGGCTTGTCTCTTGCCTTTAATCACACCCCAAAGTGACCTAGGTATGTGCCCTATTGAGGTGGGGAGGAACAGAGGGGAATGGGACTGGGGACAGTTCCAAAAGAGATGGCAGCTGTATTTTGTATTGTTTTATTGTCCTAAAATCTAAACGTCTGAAACAAAAATAGGACAAATGTTGTGTTTGGGGGGGGGGGGGTTCTGTTTGTTTTTTTCATTCTAAGGGACATGTACTTGGGTGAGTGTTCTGTGACCTGCTGTAACTTTCTGTATGTTTAAAAACCTGTTTATGATTTCAAAAGGATCGAGAAAGAGAGATTCAGGTAGGCAGAAGCCCTCAGGAAGAATCAAGCTTGGATCCTGGAGTGGTCAAGAGTATTCTAAGAAGGCCCACAGTGACCAGGATATAGAAAGGTGAGAATGGGGAGGTTGGCAAGGGCCAGGTCATGCAGCTCATTATATTTAAGCCACATTGAGGAGTTTGTACTTTCGTCAAAGTGAAATGGGGAGACCTTCTGGGGTTTTGAGTAGGGGAGGCAAGAAGAGCCATTCATTTTTCAGAAAGATCAGTCTGGCTACTGAATGGAGAAGGCGGTTTGGTGGAAGCAGGCAACCAGTTAGGAGGTTTTGGCAGAACCCATGAGAGACATAATGGTGGACTCCAGTGGAGTTGGAGAGGTTCGAGGGGTGTTTGGAAGCAGAGGTGATAGGAATTGCTGAAAGATGAGAGAGTGGCCAGGGGAAGATGTGGGAGTGGGAGAGGAAGGAAATAGGGGTGCCTCTTCATTTTTATTTCACTTTAATACCCAGGTGGGTGGTGGAGCTATTCGTCAAGAAGGGGAAGACTTCTGTGGAAGGAGCAAAGTGAGGGAGTGTAGGAATCCAGAGGTGAAAGAAGTTCAGGAATTCCATTTTTGCCATTTAAGGATGAAATGTCCACGAGACATCCAGGTGGAGATGTCAAATAGGCAGACAAATAAGTATGAGATCACAACCTCCTATTTCCACCACCCCCCCACACACATACAAATGGGACCTTGTACTGTCCCCTTCTCTGCAATCCTCTCTCACTTAATAATAGCATATTTTGGAGGTCCCCCTAAATCAGTCCATATGGACATAATTCATACTTGCTAGTGGTTGCATAATAATCCATGGACTGGCTGCACTGCAATGCCTTCAGTCATTCCCCAAATGATGAGTGTTTGCTTTGTGTCCTAGTTTGCCCAATATGAACCTTCCCACGATAAACATGCTCCTGCATATGTCCTGATGTCCTGGGGCTCTTATTTCTATAGGTCCGATCCCCACTCCTTCCCTGCCCCACATATCTGTCTTCCTTAACATTTCACTTTATGAGGATCCAAAGGACCGTTTGCTCAATGTGCTGTATTTACCCAAGACAATATAATAATCACTGTTATTATTGGTTATATAACAGGGGCACATCCAAACACTTTCCAATTCTTCCTAAATTAAAGCCTAAGGCTGCTTTTTGGTTGGCTTGTATCTCATAATTATTTTCATTTGGGGGGAATTTGAGGGGAGAGTGTGAATTGACAGAAATGATTTCCCTACTCCAAAACACAGTTACACTTTCATTCTCTTTTCCCCGGGCATCCTTCCTACAGCTATGCCAACGAGAAATTCATGGGAAGAGACTTCTTTATGTAGATCACTGTTTTCGGTGTTTTGATTCATTGTTGTATGTGGAGTTGAGCTGTTCCTCTCCCCATTAGAACACACTCCCCCCCCCCGTCCCCTACCTTCTTCCATTCTTTTCTACTCCTTTCCCCTGCTCTCTGAACTGCATTCCCACTCCTTTCCATTTCTCCCTCCTGATAGGAAGAAGGAAGTGGGCCACATGAAATGGAAGACCAGTGCTGGCTCCAAACACTCTCGAAATGTCTCCGGATCTGAACCTATCTCCTTTTAAAGCTCCACTGAGAAATAAACAGAAAGAGAAGCTAAACTCTAGCACACAAAGTCTCTTGCTGTCCCGTTTTAAACCAACTCCCATGCACGTGCTGCCAGGAGTACTGAAAGCAGGACCTGAGTGAGGACATTGAGGCTGGACCATGCAAGTCAGGTTTGGGGCCAGCCCTTTTTTTTTTTTAACACCCAGTCCCTCTCAATCTCTTCTGCTGGCTTCTCATCCTCAACTTAACTTCTAAATGCGGGCGTGTTTCAGGGAATAGCCCTGCACCTTCTTCCCCTGACTATCCTCTCTCTCTAGGGGGTCCCGCCCAGTCTCCTGGCTTTGAATACCATATCTGTGCCCTGTTCCCTCAATAATTCAGTCTTGCCAGCCTATATGGATGACAAATAGACTTCAGACACTTAACATGTGCAAATAAGAGCTCTTGACACCCCCCCAACTGTTTTTTTCTCCCTTCTCCAAACCTACCACACCCACTCCCCATTTTGCCTATGACCATACACAACACCTCCATGATCAAGACTTGAAAGAAAATATTCTTATAGTAATCATTCATTTCTTAAGTTTGTTTACCAACTGCCTTCAATGCATCAGCAAGTGATGTCTCTTCTCTTTCCAGAATGTCATGTGACCCCATGCACTATTCTCCAAATTCATGCTGCCAGTCTTGGCCAAGTCACTGCCATCTCTCAGCTGGACTACTACAAGAGGGTCCGAATTGGTCTCCTCACTTTCCTTTGTGCTCTGAGCACTTGCAATATTTTCCACAGAGAGCAGCCAGTGAGAAATTATTGAATATAATTAGGTCATGGCACTCCCTTGATTCAATCCTCTCTCTGGTTCCCCAGAACACTTTTTTTTTAAATAAAGATTTTATTTATTTATTTGACAGAGAGAGACACAGAAAGAGAGGGAATACAAGCAAGGGGAGTGGGAGAGGGAGAAGCAGGCTTCCCGCCGAGCAGGGAGCCTGATGCGGGGCTCGATCCTAGGACGTGGAATCATGACCTGAGCCGAAGGCAGACACCCAACGACTGAGCCACCCAGGCGCCCCTCCCCAGAACACTTTTGAGTAAAAACAAAACTCTTCACCATGGCTCCTTCCCACCACTGCACCCTCTTCTTGTCCCTCCGCCCCACCTCTCACTGGGCTTCAGCCACACTGACATCCTTTCTGCCCCTCTGGCACCCCAGTTTTCTGTCACAGGCCAGGGGGGACTGTAGTTCTCCCTGCTGGGCAGGTTCTTCGCCTGGCTCCTGGCAGGACTGACCACTTATCATTGTCCTCAGGAAGGCCATTCCTGACCTTTGCCACTTTTGGGGGGGGGGCGGCGGGGGTTTTAGGTAATGCGTACCAAACCATCTTGTTTATTTCCATGAGGGCATTCGTAGCAACCTTTACATGCTTTCATCTTTTCTGATGTGTATATTGTCTGTCTTCCCTACTAGAAAATAAGCTCCCTGATTACAGGGACCTTCTGCCTAGAAGAATGCCTGGTACAGCATAGGCCCTCCCTAAATACTTGTCAAATCATTGGATGAATGAGATGAATAACACTTCCTCCCACAAGAAAGAGACCTCTCCCTCCCTCCACTGATGCTCCACAGGGCTCATCATTTTTGCCTCTGTCACAGTGCCTAGTAGTCAGAACATTTTTGATTGTAGATGGCAGGGACTGGCCAGGAATGGACTAAAACAAGGAGGGGCCCCCTGGAGGCCTCTGTGGGAAAGGACTTGGAGAGCATTCCCTAGCTGCTCTCCTTGTCACTTAGTGACGAGTCACTTAGTAGCCCTGTTCCTGTTGCTGGAGGTTCAGGGGCCTAGGGATTGTCTTCAGGTTTGACAGGTTTGGGAATTTGCTGGCCATAGCATGACATCCTTGAGCCTCTTTCTCCCGCTGTTTCACTGATTTCTGTTGGCTCTGTGGGCTGGAAGTCAAAGTCAGAGAAAGAGATGTTGTTGAGCCCTGGTCCTTGAATCGGTCCTGCTTGGCATTTCTGTCTCCAACAACGGGCCAAGAAGTTCTTCTCATCAACTGCACATCCGCTACCCCCCAGGAATCATGGCTTCCCCCTGGCCTCTTCCTCCTCGGGTCCCTCTTGGATGGCCACCTGGAATGGTGAGGCACCGCTCATCTGCCTCCTGCCTACAAGCAACCTAGACCCCCAAGAGATGGCTCTTAACAGCAGTGACGGTGATCACCTTGGTCAAGCACTGGCTATTCAGCAGGCTTTTCCTACGTCGCTGTCCTTTTCCTTTGTTGGCACTAGCCCTGTCTAGGGGCAGTAGGGGGCTGGATCTCGCAAGCTGGTGAGGTACATATCTGTGTGTCTGCTTCTCAGCCACCTTGGGATGCTTTCCAGCCAGCGATGGGAAAGTTCTCACTGCCTCACACCCCACAGTGACTCGGTCGGTTCCGCAGGCTCGGGGGTTGTTCTGTCATGTGCAACTGCCTAGGTCCAGCCAACACTGCCACCACAAAAAACGGCTTTATTTACCCAAAGAAGGTGGATGGGCAGGAATGAGGGGGAGGAGAGAACATGTGCTGGGCAGATGAAATTCCATGGCCACCATAGTCCAATCAGATAGCACCTATTGCCTTCTGCTGGCATTTCTGTGATTGGTGTGGACAGCCTGAACTTGAGTGGAGTGAGATGTCCTGAGGGTTTGATCATTTTTTTCTTTACATCTGAGCCCAAATCCCACGCAGTTCAATGCCTGGCTCACAGTAAGTGAGAAACTCCTATTTATGGGAGGAAAGGAAGGACAGAGGGAAGGGTTGTTCCGACTCTTTTGGAAATGGTCACATCTGACTGTCTTTTTGTTCTATCATCTCTGTCTCAGTTGTGTGTAGGGGAGGGCACTTGCACATTTATATATGCATTGATGGGGGCTTTTTTTTGCCCAGTTTTACTGAGATATAATTGACATATAACATTGTATAAGGTTAAGGTGTACAACACAATGATTTGATAGATAGATAGATACAGATACAGCTATAGAGATAGAGATATACGATTACCACGGTAAGTTTAGTTAACATCTATCACCTCACATAGTTACACATTTTTTTTCTTGTAATGAGAACTTTTAAGATCTACTCTCTTAAGTACTTTCTGTGTTGATGTTTAATTTGTACTCTTTCTAAGGATCTGATGACGCGATTCCCTCCCTGAATGTGCTGAGTAGTGCCTGTGAGCTTGGGTACAGAGTCCAAGCACCTGAGCTTGCTTTTCAGGGCTCCACACCTTCCAGCTCCATCTCCTGCCATGTGCTCTTGGAGACATGATCTCTGTCCACGCCAGATTATTGGGCATGACCAGAAGTGGCTTTGTGTGTGCTAGCATGCCACAGGGCCTTGGCACAGACTGACCCCTCTGTTTGGAATGCCTTCCTTCCTGCCTCCACACGGTGGACTCACCTTTCAGAGCTCATCTTGGGGCTTTCATCTTCTGTGCAGCCTCACTTGACTCCTACCAGGAAGAGTTAGTGGCTGGGTGCTCCTTTCTGGAGCAAGTGGGACCCTCGCTTCTGTTACACTCTACTCTAATGGTTGCTCACTTGTCTATCCCCTCAGCATTTGGCCTTGTGTGGCCTCTCTGCTTCCACAACACATACTGCTCACCTTTTCTCACCCAGCCCCACACCTCGAACACATCAACACTCACTGCTCACTTATCACATGGCCTGTCCCTTAGCTCCCAGTGCCAAGTACTTGATAAGGCTTTCACAAATATTAGCTGATGACCTGGGACCAGGCACCTCATTCTAGAGATTTCAGGTTTTGTTTTTGATTTGAACATGGATGTGTATTTCTTGGTTCATGTTGGTAACCTTAGCACCTTGAGGGTAGAGCCAAGAACAAACAAGTGCTGGACCAGGCCCTGTCCCCAGCCCTTGGTTTGGCTTTCCTCAGGGTATCATGGAAGACAGCACTAAGGACAGGGTGCTCTTGATTCCCCCCTCTGTTGGGCTGCATGTATGGAGGCTGGGTGGGTGGGAAGAAGAATTGGGGGGGGCGACGCGGAAGAACCCCAGGTCTCTAGTTCTCCGGTAGTCTGGAGCAGGGACAGGGTTTCCAGCCCAGACTGTCTGTTCCCAAGGACAAGCTCAAAACCAGCTTATGTCTCCTCCTTCCCAGACCCCTGTATCCCTAGGGACCGGCACAGGCTCCATAAATATTTGTGGCATGGCATTATGAATGAATGAATACGTGTTCTTTATTCCCTCTTCTGCAAGTGTTGCAGAGGAGGGAAAGAGCTGGAAAAGGCGGGGGGGGGGGATTCTCTGAGAAAATGGGTCAGCAGGCTGCAGGGGGAGCTTGCCCCACTGGCCCCAGCTCCTGCTCAGAGAAGGTGTTGTGTCTTTGGTGGCGGTGATCTTGGGGAGTGTGTGTGAGCGGAAGTGGGGAGAAGCCCTGGATGTGAGAAACCCATTTTTCTCGGCTTTGTTTTAGGCCAGGCAAGTGTATTCTCCATGCCACCCACCCGCTCTTGCAAGGTACTTGATTTAATCATTTAAATGTACTATGGGGAGAGGGGGGATAAAACAAAACCCTCTAAATCTAACCCGTATTCCCGCAGTCCACAGTGGAACCCTTTCCCTGCCTTCCTCTTCATAAATATCCAGGCAACCTGAGAGGCTGTGGACTCACCCCCTCCCGCCCCCTT